TCCTGTGTTTGATCTTACCTAACCTAATCTAACCTAACACAATTCCTCGTTCTTACCGTGACCACTCAGCTCCGGGTTCTGGCTATCAATTGACCCAGTTTTTACCGTTTCTCCGCCTCCCAGGTCACGACCTTTAACTTGGTAGGGGTCGTCTCAGAAGCACGACTAAACTGACACTTGGAAGTAATAATAATAATAATAATAATAATAATAATAATAATAATAATAATATAATAATATAATAATAATAATAATAATATAATAATAATAATAATAATAATAATAATAATAATAATATAATTGATAATAAAAATAATAATAATAATAATAATAATAATAATAATAATAATAATATAATTAATAACAATAAAAATAATAATAATAATAATAATAACAATAATAATAATAATAATAATAATAATAACAATAATAATAATAATAATAATAATAGTGATCTCATGTTCTCCCGCGTGTGTGTGTACCGTTACCTGTGATGACGTCAGGTTTAATGAACGCTGAGAATGTTAATGATGTTTTTTTACTTAAAACCTTGAAGGCAATAGGGGAATTAAAGATAATGTATGATAAGATAACATTAGTCCACCAACAGTTAACCATAGTTGTTATCTTTCTAATCTTTTTAATTAGTTTCTTGTTATTTTTATCTGTTTTGTTTTTGTTTGTTTTTTACTTGTTTTTTTTTACGTTACGTTTACTTGGAAATACATAGTATATATATATAGTTAACATGTATTATTATTAGCTTAACAATAGTGATTTTAGTATGTCATTCTTATAGCTACATATGTATGAGATATTCTGAACACATTATTATTTGTATTATTATTGTTGTTGTTGTTGTTGTTGTTGTTATTAGTTTAAATGAGGTAGTTAGTGACGATGTATCTACCTATTCACAACATGCCAGTAGAATAAATTTTCTTGCTTATGAATAGTTTAATACCGATCCTATCACACCTTAAGTCAAATTTAGGTTAGGTTTGGTTAGATTAGGTTAGCTTTGGTTAGGATAGGTCAGGTTAGCTTAGGTTAGGTTAGGTCAGCTCAGGTTAGGTTAGGTTAGCTTAGGGTAGGTTAGGTTAGGTTAGGTTAGGTTAGGTTAGGTCAGGCTAGGTTAGGTCAGGTCAGGTTAGGTTAGGTTAGCTTAGGGTAGATTAGGTTAGGTTAGCTTAGGTTAAGTGAATACATCAGCCCTGACCTGCACCAATACTGTCTACTACTGAGTAACTCATGGAAAACCTTTAGTGAATTTTGGCTTGACTTATCCAAAAATTATTCCTTTATACAATATAATACAAACACAAGCAGAAATCGGTGGTTTATTTCTCGGTAAAGTCTGTGTGTGTGTGTGTGTGTGTGTGTGTGTGTGTGTGTGTGTGTGTGTGTGTGTGTGTGTGTGTCATAAAACCGATAGAGGAAACAAACAGAGAGACATGTTACTACTTCTGACAAATCCCTCTGGATATAACATAACTCTTCCCTAATTGTAACCTCGGAGCGTCACACACACACACACACACAAAGTTCCTTAAACGCAAAACCAACTGTCATTTACATAATCCCACTGTAAATAATTACTCGTCTAACATCTTTTACATATTCCCTGTAAAAATATATAAGAACATAAGAACATAAGAAAATAAGGAATCTGCAATAGGCTGGTTGGCCTGTGCATGGCAGCTCCTGTCGAGAGTTAATATCACTCTATCATCCATGAATCTATCTAGCCTCCTTTTGAAACTTTCCAGAGTTCCCGCACTAGCTACAAAGTTGCTAAGCTTGTTCCACTCGTCCACCAACCTATTTGTGAACCAGTTTCTTCCTATCTCCTCAAGTATACAGTTCTAACATCAAATCGTTTCCTAAATAATGAAGATTTTTATTTCCAACCCAAACTCAAACAGGTACAGTACGTGTCGGCTATCATGGGTCAAATTGTCAAAATATCAACAATAATAACAATAATTCTTTTTCTTCTTCAATAATAAAATCTTCTTTTTCTTCTTCTTCTTCAATTGTTCTTCTTCTTGTTCTTCTTCTTCTTCTCATCATCATCATCACTACACCCACCATATTAATCACCACACTAATATTTTTCGCCATAAGGAAGAACATTACCGATAATCAAATACCTCAGACTTAAAGGAAGAGACTCGACAATTTATCTGTACGTGAAGACAAAGAGTGTACTATAATTTGACAAGTTAACGATGCACTTATGTATGGACTCAATCTTAGCTCACAAGGCACTTCAGTAACCCAACTCAGTATGCATAGTGTCAGTTCAGGTGTACAGTAAGTGGATGTGGATATGGGTGTGGATGTGGGAGTGGGTGTGGGTGTGTGGGTGTTCTTATGCATTAGGTCGAGTAAATAACGGGTCGCTCCACCACAAAATCACCTTCTCGCCCCCTACTTGCTTGAGATAATGACGCTCGAATCACTGTTATTTCTATCTCTCGTTATCTCGTCTCTCTCTCTCTCTCTCTCTTCCTCTCTCTCTCTCTCTCTCGTTATCTCGTCTCTCTCTCTCTCTCTCTTCCTCTCTCTCTCTCTCTCTCTTCCTCTCCCTCTCTCTCTCTCACCACCTCCTCCCACTAATACCTCACGCCCCTCTCAACCCATTCAAGGACCACAGGTAAACGACCCACTGCACTCGTTAATCACCAGGTGTAGATAAACACACCTGTAATGCACTATACAGTACAAGGCTAAGACGTGAGGAAGTTACGTCGTGCACCATGAACTCCTGTGCAGATGGTTTTTTTTTCCTTTTATTTCCCTCTCTTTTTTCCTCTCCTCTTCTCCCCCATTCTTCCTCCTCCTACTCTGGTTCCCTCTTCTCCCCCATTCTTCCTGATAAGTAAGACTGAGGCAAAACACCCGGGTAATATGTGGGTTTTACCTGACTGGATCCTGTCATCTATCAATACCTCCAGGATTTATCGCTGTAGAAGAAGAAGAAGAAGAAGAAGAAGAAGAAGAAGAAGAAGAAGAAGAAGAAGAAGAAGAAGAAGAAGAAGAAGAAGAAGAAGAAGAAGAAGAAGAAGAAGAAGAAGAAGAAGAAGAAGAAGAGGAGGAGGATCTTCACGATGTCCCAAATATTCAACTAAAAAAATAAACCCTAAATTCTTATCTCTTATCTTTCCTCACCTCAAAACTATTATCCAATATATTACAAAAAAAATAATAAAAAAAAATAATAAAAAAATAAATAATAAATAAAAAAATAATGAATAACTAAATAAATAATAAAAATAAATAAATACAATAAATAATAGTAAAAAAAAAATTCCCAAGCTGCATTATGAAAGGTGAGAAAATTCTGGGTATTTAATATCTTAGAACATATAGTTAAGCCAGTATTTATAGTCATTAAATGGAGACATACAAAGGCCATACATTATACTGTGTTATGGTGCAAGTATACATAGATGCCTTACAAACACACAGACACACACACACACACACACACACACACACACACACACACAAACACACAGACACACACACACACACGGAAAAATATTTAAAGTACAGGTATTGAACAGTATGAGTGGGAGTGAGGGAGGTAGAGTGTGTTGGAGGTTGTGTGGGAGTGAGGGAAGTAGAGTGTGTTGGAGGTTGTGTGGAAGTGAGGGAGGTAGAGTGTGTTGGAGGTTGTGTGGGAGTGAGGGAGGTAGAGTGTGTTGGAGGTTGTGTGGGAGTGAGGGAGGTAGAGTGTGTTGGGAGTACTTGGTGTTATTATATTACTTATGCTGCCATGAAGGTTAAGTGTTAGTCTACTTGAGAGAGAGAGAGAGAGAGAGAGAGAGAGAGAGAGAGAGAGAGAGAGAGAGAGAGAGAGAGAGAGAGAGAGAGAGAGAGAGAGAGAGAGAGAGAGAGAGAGAATATATAAATAACACATCTCAAACTGCGTCTATAAACCACAAAACACCAAAATCCACCAAACGGGTTGAAAATATAATCGGATGGCTATACAACCCAAGGATTCCACCTAACGAAACCCACAATATACATCATTTATCTACGCTGGGCAGATCTTTTGTGTAATCCTATTGACAAACTTGGATGGGATAGACGAAGGAATAAATGCAAATCAATATACATGTACCTACCTTGCATAACCAGTAGGGGGCATACAAGGCATAGTAGACAATGCCCTTGAAGTGTTTGGTGGCAGAAATGTACAGATAGCAATTATAAATTATCTCATGTGTATAGGATAAGGGCGGATGAGTCACACTGGCCTGACTGACCTTAAAGTGGACGGAAGTGAAGATAAACAGACACAAATAAACATAAATCCCCCCCCCCCTTAATCATGAGGGTGGGGAGGGGAGGGAGAGGGTAAGGGGGAAGGTGGGGTGGAAGGGAAAGTGGGGGAGAGGGGGTGGGAGACAGGGTGGGGGGGAGAGAGGGGGTTGGAGGGGTGAGGGTTTGATTTTTTTATTTTGCCACTTACAGCGGCTACTTTATTGTGCACCCCACACTCATCCTGTGAGCGGTAGCGCAAAAGGATTACAGAGTAGAGTTTACTGTACAACGGGTCATAATAATTAACCCCCGTTGTCAGGATATTATGGCACTGAATGTTACACAGTATTTTATTTACATTATTTGTTTAGTTCTATACATAAAGGGTAACTTATTCACAAATGCGTGAGTACAGGCGTGTGAGGCAGTATGTCTGGCCGCACACTTTGTTATTCACATTTGCGTGAGAAGTATTCAAGCACATTGTGTATTTGGTTCTGTACATAAGAACTGATATAGTTACTAAGTGCAAAAAAGTGGATACAATCTTAATATGTCGGCTATCTTGCCATTAGAGATGAAGTGTTGTGCCATTTCACACACAGTGTGCTTGGACCTGTCCCTAAAAGGTTCTATCTTCACACAGTGAGGGGTCGGGTGGTGAGGGGAATGGGGGAGAGAGTGGTGGTGAGGGAGGCATGAAAAACAAACACTGATCGTACCTTGAATACTGGCATGGAAGGGCGTGGCCGTCTGATGAGTGGTGGGTGGATGGTGGGTAGGCGTCTTCTAGGAGCAAGCACTGCCTCCCGCGTTAACCTGAGGAAGAAGAACGTTAGTACCACACCAGTCAAGTCACGGCCTCACGGGTTCAATCACTCATGTCAAACTGTTTCACTGCTCACGATGCACTACTATTACTACTACTACTATTGCTACTTTTTCTTCCTTTTTTTATAACGTGGCCTCCAGCCTCCCCCAATAGCCACACCTTCGCCGCCATTTTATTACCTTAAAATTAAATATCCTAATACATAAGTAGCTATCCTAGCTGTGTTGAGTTAGTTGAGCCGCAGATCTATGTGGCATTCAGTGACTGTTGCCTCATAGTCAATATCTGCAACTGTTGTCGGCTTTGAGGCCGATGCTCTCGTTTCCCTGAGCCAGAGCAAAGCCGACCGAAGGAGAGAGAAAGACAGTCGACATCTCATCCAGGCTGTAACATAACTTCTGGGCTGCTGCTTCTGTTCGGAGATCACCTCGGCGAGTCTGGTGTAGAAACATCTTGCACTTGGGCCCATCCCACCAGAGGTTGTGAACACCAGAGGAGTGAAGCTGCCTTGATCAACGTTCTGAATTCTCTCCCATTATGCCCTTATCTTGTCGTTCTCGTTCCTCCTGTGTGCAGCATCGAGAGCTGTTGGAGCAGCATTTATTAGTACTACACTTTCAGGTTGAGTAGACTCACTGCTATCATTTAGGATATCATCGGGCGGCTGGGTCCCGGCGATATCCACTGTGGCCTCCTGTGTCGGCTCCCTGCCATACTGGTTGAGACAATTGTTTCCCTTTCTGCAAACCACACATGGTCGGTTGTTTCTCGCACACTCACAGCTAGTGCAGTTTTGGTACTGGCTAGCACAGACACAACAATGTGTGTTGCCCAGCATAGTGTTTCCGCACCTTGGGCTAGTTACGTCCGCTTCGGTCCCATACAGAAGAATAAACTAGTTCTTATGAGGAAAGGGTGGAGAGGTGACAGGTTGGACTGCTGTGTCCAGGTAGTAGGGGCATACGTGCGCGCGTGGGTGTGTAGGCGGGCGACAATCCACACATCAGAATGATACACTGGGAGCAAGAATTGTCACACCTAACACTTGTTTATATATCCTTGGCAGAAATAACCACTATTTCTATGGTCGCACTGGTGTAATATTAGTTATATATACTCACTACTACTACAATTTCTTCATTAAGGTGGCCTCCAGTCTCCCTCAATAGCCACACCTTCACCGCCATTTTATTACTACTATTACAACAACTACTACTACTACCACTACTTCTGTATTACCTTACTACCTACCGTCATCCATCAATAACTACAGCAACACCCATCATTATCTGCACCAACACTCATGACTAATTATTGAACTACTCATGACCAATCACCACACCTACCGTATCGTGACTACTTAACCACCCAAGAAGAAAATTAATAAGGTGAATTCTAGTTTAATTTGTGTGTTAATTTTGGATGTTGTCTTTGTGTTTTTACGAGAGTCAAGCAGAACAAGAACAAGACGAACAAGAACAAGACGAACAAGAACAAGACGAGCAAGAACAAGACGAACAAGAACAAGAACAAAAACAACAATCCAGGCCAGCACGTGATTAACACTGACCCCCCGCCCCTTTTCGAATCTCAAGAACACTGACGAGGAAAAGTTTGACAAGGTGACGTCACGAGACAGGATGATTTAACATTAACATGAAAATACACTACATAGAAGAGCGACCCCCACATACATATGAACGTGTGTGTGTGTGTGTGTGTGTGTGTGTGTGTGTGTGTGTGTAATCGTACATACACCTAAAAGTTTACATTCTATCAGTCTATCATTCCTTACTCCTCTCCTTTCTGGGGGAAGGAGAGAGGAGAGAGAAGAGAAGGAGGCGGCGGGGAGGAGGGGTAGGAAGGGGTGAGGGAGAGGCAGGGAAGGTGAGGGAGGAAGGGAGGGGGGGGGAAATGGGTGATGGAGTATTAGGACGCACTAGTAGAGAGAGAGGCGGAAGCGTGGCGCAATACATCTCTGTAGCCAAAGACAAGAAAAGGACGAACTAACATAACCCCCACACACACACACACACACACACACACACACACTCAGTTCACTTTGCATATGTTTCATTCTCTAGATTTATCCCTAGTACCATGTGAATATCCCTAGACACCCCCCACTGTACCTGATAACTACCACCAAGTACAGTACCTCCTGAGAGACAAATACGCACTACAAAAGGACTGTAGCCTCATACCCGCCTTTCTATATTGACTTACTGATACATACTTTCCAGAAGAGGGATTTTATGACGGAATATTCCTTACTGATTTCCCGTTGGTGTTATTCTAGCCTTTACCACAGCCAATGACCAACACATATATAATGGTTTGGTTAGGTTTGGTTAGGTTAGGTTTGGTTAGGTTAGGTTAGGTTAGGTTTGGTTAGGTTTGGTTAGGTTTGGTTTGGTTAGGTTAGGTTAGGTTGGTAAGGGTTTGGTTAGGTTAGGTTACATACATACATACATACATACACATACATACATACATACATGACATACTGTACATTACATACATACATACATACATACATACATACTGTACACCATCCTTGACCAACGAAGGGTCAAGACGTACCTGGCGCTCCTCTGGAGCAGCCAGGTCAACTACTGGTTGCCCATACCAACCCCCTCCTGAACCCTCCTCCCCACCGGAATATCAACAAGTTCTCGCCAGAAGTTACTATTTCATTTAGGAAAGGAATGAACCAGTGTTAAACAGAGGAACAGTGGTGAACAGTGCTTAGTCAGTGAGAACAACTCAACAGTAACAGTCGTACCCAAGTTAACCTTCACACAGTGAGGTCCCAGGTACCCAGTGATAATGGCCCGCGAGACCCAACAACAACCACCAATGTGTTAATCCGTCTACGATAGGAAGGCTGGGACCAAACCTCACTCATATAACACCATCTGTGAGGGAATTACTACACCACATGTCCTCTATAACACCTATATGAGGAATTACTACACCACGTCAAGTCCCTCATCACACCATCTGTGAGGGAATTACTACACCACGTCAGGCCCCATAACACCATCTGTGAGGGAGTTACTACACCACGTGATGCCCCAACACCATCTGTGAGAGTTACTTACACCACGTGAGGCCCCTCATAACACCATCTGGAGTAATTACTACACCACGAGGTCCCTCATAACACCATCTGTGAGGTAATTACTACACCACGAGGTCCTCACACCATCTGTGAGGAATTACTACACCACGTGAGGTCCCTCATAACACCATCTGTGAGGTAATTACTACACCACGTGAGGTCCCTCATAACACCATCTGTGAGGGAATTACTACACCACGAGGCCCTCATGACACCATCTGCGAGGGAATTACTACACCACGCCAGGTCCCTCAAAACACCATCTGAGGGAACTACTACACCACGTGAGTTCCTCCTAACACCATCTGGGAGGGAGTTACTACACTACGAGTTTGCTGTTCAACACGTACATTAATCTGTATGTTCACTGTATGTTCCTTTACTTTTCTCTAATGAAGGCTTTTGTTAAACCACCAATGTATGTAATAAGTCATTTATGTCCAATGTATATTTTCAGCCTTCGCTGCAGAATTTTTCAATAAACCGTTAATTATTATTATTATTATTATTATTACACATACTGTACATACATACATACATACTGTACATACACATACATACATACATATATATATATTACATACATACATACATACATATATATACTACTTACATACATACATACTGTACATACATACATACACACATACATACATACATACATACATACATACTACATACATACATATACTGTATACATACATACATACATACATACATCTTACTGCGTACATACATACATACATACACAATATATACATACATACTGTACATACATGCATACATACTGTACATACATGCATACATACTGTACATACATACATTACTGTACATACATACATACATACATACATACTGTACATACATACAAACATACAAACATACATCATACATTATTATTATCATCATTATCAATAATATCATATTATTCTTATTCCTATTAAAATCAATACTATAGTCACTACCATCATTACCACCATCACCATCATTACCACCATTAATATCATTACAGCACCATCATTACCACCATTACCATCATTACCACCATCACCATCATTACCACCATTAATATAATTACCACCATTTATATCATTACTACCACCATTAATATCATTACAGCACCATCATTACCACCATTCCATCATTACCACCATTATATCATACATCACCATCATTACCACCATTAATATCATTACATCACCATCATTACCTCATTAATATCATTACATCACCATCATTACCACCATTAATATCATTACATCACCATCATTACCACCATTAATATCATTACTACCACCATTAATATCATTACATCTCATCATTACCACCATTAATATCATTACATCACCATCATTCATTAATATCATTACATCACCATCATTACCACCATTAATATCATTACATCACCATCATTACCACCATTAATATCATTACTACCACCATTAATATCATTACATCACCATCATTACCACCATTAATATCATTACATCACCATCATTACCACCATTAATATAATTACATCACCATCATTACCACCATTAATATCATTACATCACCATCATTACCACCATTAATATCATTACATCACCATCATTACCACCATTAATATCATTACATCACCATCATTACCATCATTAATATCATTACATCACCATCATTACCACCATTAATATCATTTCTACCAATTATATCATTACATCACCATCATTACCACCATTAATATCATTACATCACTCATTACCACCATTAATATCATTACATCACCATCATTACCACCATTAATATCATTACATCACCATCATTACCACCATTAATATCATTACATCACCATCATTACCACCATTAATATAATTACATCACCAT